GTCATGTATTATATGGATTGATTTACAGATGTTAAATCAGCTTTGCAATCCTGGGATAAAGACCACTTGGTCATAATATATTATTCTTTTTATATTTTGTCGGAATCAATTTTCTAAAATTTTGTTTTAAGAAATTTGCATCTGTGTTCATAAGGAACACTGGTGCATACTTTTCTTACAATGCCTTTGGCTGGCTTCATGTGTTTCCTTTCCTCCTCTTTAATTTGGTTGCAGAGTGTGTAGAATTAGTATTATTTCTCAAAATTTTGGGTATTATGCTTTCCTTTCTTCTGTTCTCTTTGGGTTTCATTTGCTCTTCTTTTTCTAGTTTCTTAAGTTGGAAGGAAGCTGAGGGTGCTGATTTGAGACTTGTTTTTATTTTCCCTAATTTAGGCATTTGGTGCTATAGATTTCCCTCTAAGTTCTGCTTCAGTTGTATCCCACAAATTCTGATATTGTATTTTCATTTCTCTTCCGTTCAAAATACTTTTTAATTTTGATTTCTTCTTTGACACATGGGTTAAGAAGCATACTATTTGGTTTTTAAATATTTGGGATTTGTAAGCTATGTTTTCCTTATTGGTTTCTATTTTAATTTCATTTTGGTCTCAGAACATACTTTGACTTAAGTCCTTCAGACTTGTTTTACGGCCCAGAATATGGACTATTTTGGTATATGACTTGTTTGCATTAAAGAAGAATGTGTGTTCTGCCAATGTTGGGTGGAAATAGAAACTATCTCAAGACAGTAAGCTGGGATAGCCATAGAGTACATCTTCTTTATTTCCTGTCTCTCCATGATGGCTGTACTTTGCTGCTTAACATCCAACATCTTGAGAACAATTATTTCATCTATTGTGTCTATTTTTTTGTGTGAATTGTCTGCTGTGAGGGTAAATCTGGTCTTTGCTGTTCCATCTTAGCCAAAGTGGACATCTCTGTGGGCTGCTTTTAATCTGGGTGTCAACCAATATTCCTTTTAGTCTTACCCTAACCTTCCACTTCAGAAGTACCTGGTTCTGACAGTTTCTAAACCTTTGGGGGAGTTCTAAGGTGTCACTGTGCCATTTCCTCACTGCTGGCTCTGGAATCTTATAAATATCCTAGGAGAACTACTAAAGTAGAGCTGAGGCAACACAGGGGATACTGAGATTTGATAATCATGGCTGAGCTTGCCATTTTATCATGAGGCTGCATTACCTGGAACAGAGTCTCAAATTCACATACCAACAAGGGCTCTGCGAGGAAGGGAAATGAAGGAAACAAAGGCAGAGAACAGGTGCAAGACAAGAGGAGGTTGAGGCACTGGCATAAACCACCTTGTTTAGAGATCTCTGCTCTGGTCTCTTGTAGCCATGAAAGCTGGAAATTCAGAATTTTATGCAAAACTTCCTCTTTTGAAGATCTTGACAACTAATACACATTTTTTAAAATGCTGTGAGCCAACTAAGGACTAGATCTGCCTCATCAGGCTGCTAGTTTGGTACTTTTGGATTTTCACGTCTGCTTTTCCTTTGCAGATTCCTGCTTCATTATGCAGGCAACTTTTCCTGCTTCCTCATGTGCCTCTGCTCCCCACACATTGGCTCACACATGATTCTGGTTTGCCATGCCATCTACTCTGACCCCCATTCCACATGGCCTTGACTCAGTGTCGAAATCTTCCAATTTCAGATTTTCAGAAGGGAGAATTGTCCAGCTTTGGGCTTATTCACTGTGGTTGGAGGGGGTCAATTAGGATCATATTTACTGACTTCTGGGACTGAGGGTGAGATAGGTTTCTATTGGATGGTGAGAAAATGATTGACTTTTTGTGGAAACTAACTGAATCATACAATGGGAGAGGTGGAAATGACCTTAGAAAAACTTAGTCAAACTCCATCATATTACATATGAAGAAACTGAAGCTTAGAGAACTGGAGAGGCTTCTCCAAGCTCAAGGACTTTATTAATCAACAGTGAAGATGAGTCTAGGATTTAATCACCTAGCCAAATTTTCTTTCCTCTGTGTTCCATGAGAACTGGAAATATATCAGTATCCTTAGTCCAATGCATGATGCATAATAGGTATTCAGCGAATATTTGTTATATAAAAAGATGTACTGAGTTATTTTCTATAATGGTAGCATACTTAATTTATAAGTTACGATTAGATTTAGCTATGTATAACAGAAAGCCATCAAAATAATGGCTCATACACAATCAAGTTTATTTAACTCTCATGTGAAAGAAGTCAGGAGCTGGAAAGGACCCATAGGATATCAACAATGTCTCCATGTCCTGATTTCCATTTTGTCATCCTTAGTGTATAGCTTCCATCTTTACATTTGTCTTAAGGGGGTGCCTGGGTGGCTCAGTGAGTTGTGCATCCAACTTCTGGTCAGGTCATGATCTCATGGTTCATAAGTTTGAGCCCCACTTTGGGTTCGCTGCCGTCAACCTGTCAGTGCAGAGTCTGCTTTGGATCCTCTGTCCCCTCCTTTTGGCCCCACCCCTGCTTGTGCTTCCCTGCCCAAATAAATAAATATAAAAAATAATAAATTTGTCTTATGATTAGAACTCTAGCTATGTACCTGAAATCCAGGATGGAAGAATGTAGAATGGGTCCATGACAACAAGGTTTCCTGGAAGTGCCATATAATGTCTGCTTAAATCTCATAGTTTGAAACAAAGACATGTGGGCACACTGGGTTGTAAAGGAGGCTAGGAAAAGGAAGTTGGGTAGATTGTCTTCTTGACTAAATCTGGGTTTTGTTAAAGAAATAGGAGGAATGGGTATTTGGTTGACAACTAGGAGTGTCTGCCAGAATTGGAAAGAGTTCATAACTGATTGAAATGTGTTTCCTGTAGTTTTGATGTGCACAGTAGCCAGGACCAAAGTATGATTGCCTTTAAAGATACTTAGTCAAGGAGGAGTGCCTTAGTGGTGCAGTCGGTTAAGCATCTGACTTCGGCTCAGGTCATGATCTCCCAGTTCGTGAGTTCTATCTGGCATCAGGCTGTGGGCCTACAGCTCAGGGACTGGAGCCTGCTTCAGTTTCTGTGTCTCCCTCTCTCTGCCCTCCCCTTCTTGTGCTCTGTCTGTCTGTCTCTCAAAATAAATAAACATTAAAAAATTTAAAAAAATAAAAATACTTTCCTGATTTCATATGCAAACAGACAAAACACTGGTTTGGTTGAGACAATATTCTAATATTCTGGTTTTACTGTTTTTAGAAAACACTGGTTCAGTTATAGTTCATACTAGTTAATTGGATTTTATTGACTTTCATAGAAATCTTTCTGAGTGAGTCTACAATTAAAAAAAAGTTTGGTTTTAGTTCAGTACTGGGTTTCACAAATTAGTGTGATCCCTTCCAATTTTTGGTTCATAGCTTGGGTCACCTCCAATTCCTGGCAATGATGTATCCACACTAGGAATTTTGCAATTCTGGTGTAGAATAGCAGACATAGGCCAAAGAACTTATTTCTACTTAAGCAGGAGTTTATTAATCCTGTTTTTCTTATGTAGGAACTAGTAATCCTAATGGTTTTGAATGATTCTAAATTTATCTCTGTGATTTGGCATGGCTAAAGGCCCCAGTTGTGGAAGATGTGCCAAAATGAACACATTAGCCTGTTTTATCCCAATTTGAAACTTCTCTGTTCTTACTCTGTTCTACATTTCATGGTTTGAATTTTTTTTCCATGTTAGTTCTAGAACACTATTCTGGAGTTTGCTTTGTGTAGGGCCTCAGAAAAACTCTTAAAATTAGAGATTGCAAGTTCCATTTTTAAAATGGAGCATTAAGGAAATTTGGTAAATTTCAGAAACAGAACATGTGTGGAGAGTGTTATAAATCCTGCTCAAGGAAACACAGCTGATCAGGGCCTTGAGAGAACTGTGGCTCAACACTGCCACATAGTTTAGTATTTTAAACTATGGGAAAGAGATCTGACTTCATATGAAAATCCATACTTTTACATATCAACTCACTATTTTAAAAAATTAAAGTCAATGAGTGGGCCACTGCTGTGCAGGCCAAGTAAGATATATATATATACATATACATGTATATATATGTATATATATATCAGATTCTTTTTTTAAAAAATGATTATTTATGACTGAGACAGAAACAGAGCATGAGTGGAAGAGGGGCAGAGAGAGAGGGATACACAGAATCTAAAGCAGGCTCCAGGCTCTGAGCTGTCAGTACAGAGCCCAACACGGGGCTCAAACCCAGGAACTGTGAGAACCTGAGACAAAGTCGGACATTTAGGCGACTGAGCCACTCAAGCACCCCATATTCTTGAGCTACTGGTTCGCAGGGTCTGATTTAAGTATTCTTCATTTCCATGTATTCTATGCTTCACTTGATGATTCTGTCCTTATTCTTTTGAATAAAAATGTTAATAAAATATTTGAAAGTGGCTTCCTACTTGCATTGGTATCATACTGTTGCCTGAAATTCAAAATATATTGCCTAAGATTCAGACTATATATTCTTCTCATTATCTAGGAAAGAATAATTCAATGAGAAGATGACATTAACAAGGCCAGGAATCCAGTTTTCTGGCTATGGCTATACACTTCTCAGAGTAATTGGCCATTCCTATGAAATTCATCTGGTAAATTTGCACATGTGACCATTGGTTGTAAGGTGGAAAAAGCAAGAGGATCTAACAGTGCATTATAATCCATCCCATAAAACCAATCAAGTATCAGATCTGTGTGTTTTTGTACTACTTACTTTCCAAAATGCATTCAGTGAAGACCAACTGTGTGCTAGACCTGTGGAAGGGTGGCAAGTAGAAGGCAGAGTAGGTGCATGTGTTCTCTAGGTTTTACTTATTTATTTTAAGGCAATTGAGAAGGAAAGGAGAGGAGGCTTTTGCTCCCTGGTCACAAGCTGTGAGGTTGGAAGCCTTGAAGCCACCAGCAGACACAGTTTCTTCATCAGGAGAAAGCTGGTCTGAGAGAACAGGGCCAACATCCTGAGAGGTGCGTTATCCCTCACCTGGATATTGAACAGCTCTTTGACTTGTCTCCCTGCTTCCACTCTTGCTCTCTGAATATAGGAACTGTGGTGACCTTTAAAATAAAAGTTAAATGTCACTCCTTTGCCCAAAACCCTGCTTTGGGTCCCTATTTCACAGTGAGTAAAAAAAAAAAACTGAGTAAATATGGCTTCCACATGACCTGGCCCTTTTGCTTCTCTGCCCTCATCTCCTACAAATACCCACGCTAATACAGCTGTCCCTCCAAAATGCCTGGTAAGACCTTTGTACTAGCTGTTGCCTGTCCCCAGGAAACCCTTCCTGGAAGACTAAGGCTCTACTCCAAACCATGCTCAAATCTTATTTTCTTACTGAAGTTTTGTTTACCTGGCTAGTCAAGTATGATGCCTAACTTGACCCAGAGTTCCTAGGGGCGCCTGGGTGGCTTAGTTGGTTAAGCATCCGACTTCGGCTCAGGTCATGATCTCATGGTGTGTGGGTTTGAGTCCCCCATTGGGCTCTGTGCTGACAGCTAGCTCAGAGCCTGGAGGCTGTATCAGATTCTGTGTCTCCCTCTCTCTCTGACCTTCCCCCCTCATGCTATCTCTCTCAGAAATAAATAAAACACTTAAAAAAAAAAAAAGATATATCCTAAATGCCTCTATGGCCTGACCTTGCTCTAGCAGTTTGATCTGTCTAGTAAAAAAGACAATAAGGCTAAATGGGACTTAAGTTGAGCTGGATAAAATTCAAGACTCCTACCTTCTGTGAGCCTTAACCAGGAGAATTCTCTCTCTCGCTTTTTAAGTAATCTCTACACCTAGTGTGAGGCTTGAACTCATAATCCTGAGGTCAAGAGTCGCACACTCTACTGACAGAGCCAGCCAGGCACCCCAACCAGGATAATTTTTAATTTCACTCAAACTCATTGGCCGTATTTCTCCAAACCCTATAAATCTATGAGATAACAATTTAAAAAAATAATAATGGTCATAGTCATTACTATATAATAGCAATAATGGTAATTGTTATAGTAATAAAATAGTATATTTTCAATATACCTGTGCCAGGTACTGTTATAAATGCCTTATATGTAGTCACTCATTTTATCCTCACAATAACCTTTGATGTTGGTGTTTTAATATTCCATTTATGGGGCACCTGGGTGTCTCAGTAAGTTAAGCGCCCGACTTCAGCTCAGGTCATGATCTCACTGGGTTTGAGCCCTGCATCAGGCTCTGTGCTCACAGCTCAGAGCCTGGACCCTGCTTTGGATTCTGTGTGTTTCTTTCTCTCTCTGCCCCTCCTCCACTTGCATTCTATCTCTTTCTCTCTCTCAAAAATGAATAAATGTTAAAAAAATTCCATTTATTAGTGAGGAAATTGAGGCACAGATAGTAAGTAAACAACCCAAACTCCCACAGCTAATGAGTCACAGAAAGAACCACAATTTCAAATCAGGCATTAGGATTCAGAGTCTATGGTATTTTGGTTTTTAGATAATAAAGGACCCACAACAAACTGATTTGAGCCAAACAGTACTTAGGTAGGACTTGCTTCAGACCCTGCTCTACTCAAGTGCTCAAGCTAACAGGATTTGGTGCTCTTCTTTCTTGTTTGGGTTGTTCTTAGGCAGCCTCTTTCCACATGGTGACCCCAGCACCACTAGGTCCACATCATTATCAGCTTTAAGTTCATCAAAGAGAGAGAATGTAGGTCCAATGGTTCCAACATAAGTTTTAGGACTGAGTCTCAGTGAGTAATGAATTCCTAACTAAGTTCACTGCAGTACCAGGATAGAATATGCTGATAGGTCAGATCTTGACCTGTGACAATCAGTTCGATGGTGGTGGATTTATCAAAGCCACATAGGCCAAGAGTGGTAAGGAGCTGTTCTGCTAAAGATTAATGGACGCTGTTAAAGCAGGGGGATGGGTAGCAGGCAACGAAATATATCGAGTGGCCACTGTAGACAGGTAGGTACTGGGCTTTGTTTATTTATTTATCTGTTTTCTTGTTTTTTGTTTTAATTGTTTATTTTTTGTTTTTGTTTTTTTACACATGAGGAACCTGAGATTCACAGAGGCTAAATTATTTGCCCAAGACTAGAGACCTAGAGAGTGGTAGGTCACAACTTGAATTCCAAAACTTGTGCCCTGCTGCTGTAAAAAGATAAACTAGAGGGGCGCCTGGGTGGCTTAGTCGCTTAAGCGTCCGACTTTCGCTTAGGTCATGATCTCACGGTTCGTGAGTTCGAGCCCCGCGTCGGGCTGTGTGCTGACTGCCAGCTCAGAGCCTGGAGCCTGTTTCAGTCTGTGACTCCCTCTCTCTCTGACCCTCCCCTGCTCACGCTGTCTCTCTCTCTGTCTCCTAGAAATAAATAAAAAAAAAAAAATTAAAAAAAAAAAAAAGATAAACTAGAAATGATCAGAAGTGCAGGGCACAGGGTGGTACTTGGGTTCAGAAGCCTGGCTCCCTGTCTAGTCACATTATCACTTCTTGCCTTTGAATTCAGCGCCCCCATGGCTCCAATTCCATGGCCACTGGGACTGGTCTTGTAGAAGAAATTACTTGGGGGAGACTGGGATGGGTGGGGGGAGTGGAGCTTCTTTGAAACAGCAAACTCAGTGATCTGGAGGAGCCTTGCTTCTGAAGGCTAATCTGACTAATTTTAGGCTGTTAATCAGCCTCTGGAAATTATTTTTCACTCCAGAAATTCCCCAGTTTTATTTACACTGAATGACTTAGTCTTTTCACAGACCACATCATCTCCTAACTTTTGGATATTTAAAAACCCACCAGCCCCAAAAGCTTCCCAAAAAGCTACACTAGAAACTGAAGCATAGCCCAGGGCTGAGTGTCTACACCTTCAAAGACAAGGAGATGCTGGAGGCCAGAAGGCTTCCTTTCTTTCTTTCTTTCTTTCTTTCTTCCTTCCTTCCTTCCTTCCTTCCTTCCTTCCTTCCTTCCTTCCCTCCCTCCTTCCTTCTTTCCTGCCTCCCTGCCTTTCTGCCTTCCTACTTAAAAGCCCTTCATTCTTAATTTGCTTGGCTTATAGTCATTGGCAGTTACTAAGCATCTATTAGAAGTAAAAATTTTTATGAAATGTTTAAAGGAAGAGAGGATATGTTTTTGGAAAGATGGCTATAATTTATTTCCAAAAAGCTCAGCATAGACAAGAGAATCTTAAGTCTGTGCTATTTGTTTTAAGTTCCAACTTCCAGGGTAGCAGCTCTTGCCAAGAACACACAGTCCAGAGCAGTTCAGGGGGGGATTTGAGATGGTGGAGTAGTAGGGGGACCCTGGGCTTGCCTGCTCCCTCCAACACAGCTAGTTCAACATCAAATCATTTTGAACACCTAGGAAATCCACCTGAGGATTAAGAGAACAATCTGCATAATTTGAGAGAGAACCTAGAAAGTACAGTGTGGAGAGATAAATTGGGGGAGAGAAAAGGCAAGGTGCCACAGAGGGTAGGGAGCCTTTTTTGTGGAGAGGAGGAGAAAGGGGGAAAGAGACATTTGTGTTGGGTTCATGCAAGAAAAGCACTTCCCCAAAACCATTGACTGGGGAATCTGGAGGAATGGACTATCACAAGTTTTTGTAAACAGCAAGCTCAAATTCTGAGGTTTTGGAAGTTAGTGCCATTTGCAGGAGTTGATCAGGGCAGGCGGTGGTGCTCCTGGGGAGAAGGGGGGCGGAGGCCCCAGACAAACAGTGGACAGTGTGGTGTGGGGATCCCCTGGGTCACACTGAGAGAGGTGTTCCTTTCCTGCAGAGCATTTGGAAGAGGGTATACTGTCTCTCCAAGGACAAAAGACTCAGCTGGTGCCTTTGAGTAGCTATTCAACAGCAAAAGACAGAGGCACATGCAGAGGGTGGATAACCTGGTCACAGCTTCTAGCTGCACTTCACCATAAACTCCAGGCACCAGGCAGCTGTGTGACTGCTTTTCTGGGAGAGAATGGCAGCAGGGCGAGTGTTGCAAGCCTTTCCTCCATAGTGGGGAGTGAGTTGGTGCACTGCCTGGTTTTTCAAGATTTGGAGTGTTGAATCCCAGCCACCTGTCAGAGATAAAACACAGGAGAGCTGTGGTGCCTGCCTTGTCCACAGCCAGGTCACAGATAAATTGAGGACAGTGATCTGATGGAAACCTAGTAGACAGGAGGGGAGACTGTTCACCTGTCTGTGAGGGTCTCCTGACCACCAGCTGGTCTGATCCTCCCACCCCAGCGGGGAGAAAGCTAGGTGAGCCCATCTTCCCATGGCCCTCAACAGAATGGTGAGACTTAACTGAACAACACAGTGCCCCCAGTGGAGTCTGGAGCCACTTACACCAAACTCCACCCTCTGCACCCTGCAGGGGCATCTTTACTAGGGCAGGTCTGACTGTGAGCCAATGCAGGGGGCTTCGCCCCCAGAGCACCAACACAGATACCCTGCATACACCACATCTACTGATCATATAGTGCTCCAAAGCATCAGCTTCAGTTCTGGTGGAAATAGGACCAGGCTTTTAAAATTCTTTTCTTTTCTTTCCTTCTTTCCTTTTTTTTTTTTTTTTTTTTAATCAGGCTTATAGTTTTTGTTCTTTTGGTTGTCTGGTTTTTTGTTTGTTCCTTTTCCTTTTCTCTCTCTTTTTTTAAATTTAAATCAGGCTTATTTTAAGAAACAAATAAAAGCACACCTAGTTAAAGGTCCAAACACTCCCCACTGTAAGCAAGGAGGAACTCTGCAGAGAACTGACCTGGGGGAAGAGCAGCCAAATCATAATAGCAGAGTGCACACGGTATACACCAGGAATACTTCCTGAAGTGTCAGGCCCCGTGTGCTCTTCCGATCTCCAAACCGTCGCTGCAAGTAGTCAGAAAAGTAGCCAAAGACGCAACAACAGAGTGCAGCAACACACTCTGGAAACACTTGCTGAAGTGCCAGGCCCTGGACAGTGTACGACTCCTTCTTAATATAGCATTACTCTCAGGAGCAGGAAACGTAACAAGCTTTCATAACATGCAAAAGACAAAAATAAAGAGAGAATTCTGAAAGCAGCTTACGGACAAAAGATCCTTAACCTATAAGGGTA